TAGTTTATTGTATTTAAGGCAAGGATGTCAAACTCATGACGTGTCATGATGTATCGTGATTTTTTTTCCATTGCCGGCAATGGGGTGGGGGTGGTTTTCGCTATGATGCTCGTGGGCTGGCAGTTTGACATCTCTGATTTAAGGCAAATGTTCATAGTAAATTCCAAAGTTTTGTCCAATTCTTGTCTGGCAAATTTTCTCGACTCCTTTCTTTGCTGTTAGTATCTATGACTGAATGTCGTCCTCTGAAGGATCGAAAAGGATCGAAAAGTCTCAGAGTTGGTCCGACAAATTTGATGAACAAAAGGGCTGAAATTGACTTAGTCTTCAATGAAGCTCTTGTTGGGGTGGCAATTAGATTCATCTGCAAAAACCCATGTTCACATTCACTTGAAGAAATGGGAATGGTATTCAGAGTCTGTATCAAATGCAACAGTTTTTCTGGATATGTCTTTTCGAGAATGTATTCATGGAATCCATGAATCATTTCTTTTTCATTTAGTTGCAGTCTGATTGACGAGTTTCTAATTTCCACTTCTCCAAATGTCAGTCAAGTATTAACATTTTCAGGCCAATGTTTTTGACCAAGTACCCAAGACCAATATGCCAACTCATTGTCTTTGCTATCAAGCAATCTTTTTTCAATTGACTCTTTCAATTTTGTATAAAATGTACTTGGGTCAATGGGAGGATCCTTTCCTGAATCTTTCTCCTGAAGTAAAATTCCATGAAAACGAAGATTGCATACAGATGGTTTGTAATTTCACCCTTCTTACTAATTCTTATTAATGCTGCATCTTAAAGATTTGAGTCAAGTTTAATTCATAATTGCCTTTATTTTTTTTCCATATGTTTTTGGCTTAGATGAAGTAGTGCATCTCTCAGGCATTCACCAAATAAACTAGAATTTGTTGTGAGCATCTTCTTAAATACAAACAGCTCATAAGCTGGACTTACCTATATTAGCAACCACATTATTGATGGCTTGTACATACCATTTTAAAGATATGATCACATTGGTTCAAGTTAATGAGATGCTCCTATAACCCAAAAATGCATACTATTAATTCATCCCTGCCAAAATAGTTGGTTATTTTCATCAGACTTAGTTCATGATGAACTTTTTTATCAAATTAATCATGAAGACAGCATAGTAGGCTGCCATGGGGTGAAAAATTGTGGAATAGCTCCCCCGTGTTTATGTACTGCAGGTGGATATAGTAAAGATTAAATATTATTTTTTGTCTACTTGGAAAATGATGTGTTGCACTTTAATAGAGGAGGAGACAACTTTTGCATATATAGTCTGACATATATTGAGTTCCTTTTGGAAGGACTAGCAGTGGGAGATAATAGATATCTGTAATACAAGTGCATATGCTGCCTTCAAAATATGTGTTTAATTGTTGGAGTCATGTTACTGACAAGATGATGACTTGCAAAATAATTGTGTTATATATATATTCAACTTTGCCTTCATAATATAAACAGTTTGTTCAGTTTTTTATTAACAAAGTTCATGAGAAGATTATAAACTTGTTTAAAAATTAAAAAGCTACACAACACTTAAGCCCTCTGTCTTGAAAATGGGTTTGTCTGAAACCAATAACACTTAATCCATGTTTCGCCTGCAAATGCAGCAGATTCCACCCAAGGGTTCCCCTTGCAGCTCTTTCTAAAGCCAGAATCTACAGGAAATGCTATGGCTATATCAGAGAGCCCAGAAAAAAAAAGAGAAGAGGCTTCTGACCATGCACAAAGTGCCACCTCGCTCTGTAATATTTCCGGAGACCAGATCTGAGCCTCTATGCAGAATTAAGCACTGCTCCTACCACCTCCCACCCCCAGTCCTCTCTTACTCACAAGGAGACGGTGTGGTTGGGCAGCAGGGAGGGGTGCAAAGTTCCTGCCAACTCGCCTCTGCTGCATACAACTTTGATGTGCAGCATTTGCCAGTGAGGTCCTTTGACGCACTCAGTGGTGCAGAGACAGCTGACAATGACCAAGTCCAGGCAATTCCTATTGGCTTTCGAAAGCCAACAGAGGAACTAGCACAGCCCGTGCAGGAGACAGCAGCCAAGTCTGGTGGGCACAAGCGCTCAAGTCGTGCCCTGGGACTAACCACGTGCCATTCCCCTGTTGGGGTAGCAGAAGTTGAAAATCTGTCAAAGAAAGTGCCGGAAAGTGATAAAAATGAATATTATACCCAAGTTTCTTTTTTTGTTTCAAATGTTACCAATTTTGAAAAATGAGATTAATTTAAATGAGTGGCAGAAGGGTCTTAATAAATTTATCTGGGCAGGGAAAAAGCCAAGGGTTAAGTTTAAAATTATGCAAGACTTCCGTGAGAGGGGTGGACTTAAGGTACCAAATTTGAAATTATATTATGATGCGGTGGTTTTAACACTAATCAGTGATTGGATAAATTTGACAAACTTTGAGATACTTTATCTAGAGGGATGGGACTTACTTTATGGGTGGCATGCCTATTTAATATTCAATAAAAAAATGGATTGGGCTTTTAAATCTCATATCTTAAGAATCTCTTTACTTAGGATTTGGAGAAAATATTATAAAAGTGATTTCAAAGTACCATTATGGGCTATACCTTGGCATGCGATAGAAGCAATAAAAAGAGGGGTTAAAATGGATATGGTGTCTTACAGACAGTTACTTAAATGGGATGGACAAAACTGGCAATTAAAATCACGGGAAGAGTTAGCACAAGAAAACTTTATTTATTCTTGGTTCCAATATAGGCAATTACTAGACAGATGGAAGATGGATTGTAAGGTGGGTTTTCTTAGAGAAGATGAAAATCTTATTAAGCAAGTGAAGGATTCAAGACAAACCCACATTAAGAGAATTTATGCGGGTTTAGTTGAATTGGATTCAGAAACGGAACTAATTAAAGATTGTATGATAAGATGGGTGCAGAATTTTGGTGAGCCAGTCTCATTGGACACCTGGGAAAAAATTTGGGTGAGAAATGTCAAATTTACACAAGCACAGAACTTAAGGGAGAATTTTTATAAAATGTTTTATAGATGGCACCTTGATCCACAAAAAATGTCTTATATGTACCCTGACGTGCAACCCAAATGTTGGAGATGTGGTTATAAGGAGGCTTCCTATTATCATATTTGGTGGTCATGCAGAGAGATAAAAGCATTTTGGATCAAAATATGGTGGAATATCCAGAGAATTTTTAGAAGGAGGGTAAAATTTACTCCGCAATTATTTTTGTTAGGTATTGTTACAGATTGTGATACAAAGGAGGTTGTATTGATGTTAAATTTGATTACAGCCGCTAGGCTGTTAGTAGGACAATATTGGAAGAAGGAATCCTTGCCTACATTGCAGGAATGGTTTCTTAAAGTAGCTTATCTGGCGGAAATGGCAAAGATCTCGGCTTTCTTAAAGCAACAAACGCAAGAGAAGTTTTTTGCTGTTTGGGATAAATGGATAAAATTTATACAATTTAGATTGGGTATACAAAAATATTATATAGTTTTTTCATAAGTTTTATTTTTATATATATTATAGATAATCTTTTTATATATATAAATATAAAGTTCTTAATTTAATTTTTATTTTTACTTTTAAGCCTATATTCTGCTCTGGGAAGCTCAGGGGGGGGGGAAGGGAGGGGGGGGTTTGGGAGGGGTGGGGGGTTTTTTTTTATATATATATGTATTGTTTAGTTTTATTTTTTTTGTATATGTTGTCTCTTGTTTTGTATTCTTTTTTCTTTTTTGTAAAACTTATAAAACTTTTAATAAAAAAAAAAAAAAAAAGAAATTGCCGGAATGCCCTTCTGTGCGTTCTATGACAAAAAAGGCCCTGATTTTAGCCATCTCTGTTTTTGAGATAGTTCTTCAACATCTAGCAGGAATATCTGACTGTAATGGAATGCATTAGACCAGTGATGGTGAACCTTTTAGAGACCAAGTGCCCAAAAACTGGCCCCGCCCCTGCTCTACCCCCTGCCCCGCCCCCATCCTGCCTACCCGTAGAGCCACTCATCACCTCCAGGGCCTGCTGCAGATTGCCCAGGCAGCCCAGCAGTGCCATGGCGGCCACGCCCTCTCCCCATGCCCTGCAGCATCAACTGTGTACAATGGGGCATGAGGGCAGAGTCTTGTCTACGCTGCCTGGCTGCCATGTCCTTGGCTGTGCTGCTCCGCATGGGCCACGCTTGGGGGTGACTCTCCTCCAGGCGGGCTGCTGGTGAGGGGGCTGCGGGAGGCCACAAGACTGGGCCAATGGCACGTGTGCCCACAGAGAATGCTCCGATTGCCACCTCTGGCACCCGTGCCATAGGTTCGCCACAACTGCATTAGAATTATATATCATCCATCAAATTTATTTATATGCCAAGTAGCTGGTCCTAAAATTAAACTTAATAAGACAGGTGCCCTCGAGATAATTTTTTTTTCTGATCTTGTATGTGAAATAACTTGGTTGTTCTTTAATACTTATATTTTGATCCTTCAGGTGCCACATGCCACTTCATTTCAGGTAGAAAAATATTTAAGGACAATCATGAACTAACATTAAAATTAAGATGTCCCTTAATACGAAAAAAATAATAAAAATAATTACCACTCACAAAATTGACTATTTATTTATTCATTGAACAATTTAAACACTGGCAGCTTCAAAGACACCAGGCAATTTATTATTACTATCAGTAATAATAAAATATCAATATAATGAAATAATTCCCAGCATAAATATTACAATCACAATAAAATACTACAATTAAAGAAAATATTATTTAACAATTTTTAATAATTTTAAAATCATTTTAATGAAACAAATATTTTTTCAAGTTATTTTCTTGACATGGGATCAGGACCCTTTTATCTGAACATTGTCTTGGTAGCAGCTCTTCTTTTTGTCTTTCAAGGCCATTCCCTCTGCCCTCTACTTGCCATAAGAATCCTCAGTAAACCTTGGAAACATCAATTGTTCCATCAGGCACATGAGGTAAGACTTCCTAACCAGTACAGCACTCTTGCAGACATTAGGTATGACAGCAATGTGCACATGAACAAGATAATGATTCAATTATGGCCAAGTACTAATGTCAATGTCCCCCATCTTCAGATTATATCTCATCTGCTTCAAGGGAAAGACAAGATATAATATGCAACTATTTATGTGTTGGGTCCAAGATCACGTGGAACAAGCCCATGTTTGCCATAGAAGCTGTGAGATTAAAAGTTCATATAAATTATTCACCCAAGGCATGGAGAATGAACTCCTTCAGCATTGTTGGCTGGAAGACTTCAAAAGCAGCTGAACTATGAGTTTCAGGAGCCCATTTAGTTAAATGTGTATATAATATCAAAAGGTTTCATTTTAACTGATTACAAGTTTAGAAGAGTAGCAATAGTTCAATAATGCATGAAAATGTAGAATTACAATAAGGATAAGGCTGTCATTGTTATACAGTATTTTCATTGCAATTATTCATTTTTCTTGTTATGAAATCGTGCCAACAGACCTCTTCTTATACTTCCTGGCTGTTTTTGATATTTTTCTATTAAAGTCTGTAAAGTGTTTTGTACCTATTAGAAGAAGAAAACACACATGTAAATTTATCTTGACTCCTGAATGCTTTTGTTTAATGAGCTAATTCTATCATGATGCTCACATAAAGATCAGTTTACCTTTTCTACCAGATCTTCAACAGTTATGTTTGGATCATATGGTATGGGCTGTCCAATATGTGTACGCCATTTCACTGGAAACCCTCCATACAAAATAACTAGTGGCCATCGAACATATTCGTACAAGACTTTCAGTGGTTCTATATGATGAGAAAATTAGGTTGCATATTAAATATATAAGACTGTTTTCGAGGTTAGGTTCAGATAAACAGCATTCTGAAGTTAAATTATATGATTTTATAGTTTTATTGTCTTTCATAGTTTCTACTTCATTAAAAAATCCTTCAATAAAAATATTTTAAAAGGTGATGTGAAATTACAGTAGCTCCTAAATGATCAATCTTAGACCTTATTATATCACTGATGACACCTATTAAATCAGCCTTCTGTATCATTCTATGTTCAGCATACAATATAACAGCATATATAAAACATTTCTTTTTGTTTTTATTATTATTTTCATCTGGAATGTCAGAAAGAAATAAAGAGGGACTTAGGGCTATCTGTCTATCAATACATTAATTCTTAAAACATAAGAGAATAAAACCAAAGTTATGATGGTGGGTCAAGCTAGCAAAAAAAAAAAAACAGATTATAAATTTAGAAAATATATAGTATGTTTAACTTACTTATTCTTCCAAGTATCCTATACCCCTCCCGACTATTCTCTGTAAACATTGGAATTATGGGCTAGGGAAAAGAAGCAAAGAAGCAAATATCAACTTCATTTATTTAAAATATTTCATTAAAACAAATGGCAATTTGGAGAACATGTGATTTGATTGTAAATATACAGCTTGTTCCTAATTACTGTAACAGCTTCCTCATGTTCTTTATTTACAAAGTTATTAGCTGTACATCTCATCTTCCTGCCAGGAACCTAAAGTTACATATATAGCATCCCCTCCTTTGATTCTCTCTATGAAAAAAACCTTATAAGATAGAGTTGTTGAAAGATAATAATTGACTCAAAGTCACTTTGTGGTTTTCCATGGCTGATGGTAGACTTGAACTGGGAACTTCCCAACCATAATTTATCGTCCTCCCAAACATTTGTGATTTAGATGGAGTTGTGTGTTAGAACTACATTAAAAGTAGAATGATAATGCATGAGAAAGGCACATTCTATAGAATATTTATTTATTAATTTGATTTAGATGCCACCTGACTCTAAAGATAGTTTGGTCTAATGGTTAAAACACTAAGCTAGAAAGCAGGAGACTGTGAATTCAAGTTCTACCTTAGCCATGAAACCCAATGGATGACTTTGAACCACTCATACTCTCTGCGCCCAACACACCTCACAGGATTAATAAAGGTGGGTTACAAATTAAATAATAAGACAACTGTCATGGAATTAATAAAAATGGAATCTGATGGAAGTTGTGGAAGATACAGTGTGATTTGTCCATGTACAAGAGTGGCAGTGCAGAGGTTAGAATGCAGCATTGCAGGCTAACTCTGCCCACTGTCAGGAGTTAAGTTCTGACTGAGTCAAGGTTGACTCAGCATTCCATCCTTCCAAGATCAGTAAAATGAGAACCCAGATAGTTGGGGCAATATGTTGAATCTGTAAACCACTTAGAGCAGGGGTGGCGAACCTATGGCATGTGTGCCACAGGTGGCACTCAGAGCCCTCTCTGTGGGCCCTGTCACCACAGCCCTGCTTCCCCCTGCACCCCTCTCACCAGCAGCCCCCCACAGAGGAGAGTTGCCCCTGAGGTGGCCCGTATGGAGCAGCGCAGCCAAGGACATGGCAGCCAGACAGCAGAGACAAGACTCTGCCCTTGCACCCTATCATGCACAGTTGATGCTGTGGGGTGCGGACAGAGGGTGTGACCAGCACAGCAGTGCTGGGCTGCCTGGGTGATCTGCGGCGGGCCATGGAGGCGGTGAATGGCCCTGCAGGTGGGCCGGGCGGGGGTGGAGCGGGCAGGACAGGGGTGGAGCAGGTTGGCAGGACAGGGTGGGGCTGGGTTTTGGGCACTCGGTCTCTAAAAGGTTCGCCATCACTGACTTAGAGGGTTCTGTAAAGCACCATGAATCAGCATATAAGTCTATGTGTCATTATCATTGCTATGTATTTGGTAGGACTTACCACTCTTGCTTCTAAAGCAACTTTTGCGAAACCTGTGCGTTTACCCCATAAAATTTTATAGGTTTCATCACTAAAGATGGCTTCTCGTGTTCCTCCTGGTGAAATAGCCACCCAATCACCATTCTTCAGGGCATGAAGACATTCTTCCTTTGAACCCGTTATCATTTTCAGATTCGTGCCAAGCATTTTTAAGCCTGAAAGAAAGAAATAAAATAAAAAATAAAATTAGAAATCTTGTTGAGAGCAGAAAGCTAAACAATGTAATAAGAAAGTAATTTTTTTTTGAAAGACTAAATGCTGGTGTTTTCTTCATTTCTGAAATAAAGCAATCAACAGTACTAATTTATTTTCTTAACTTTGTCAGTGATTGTCAACATCTTTTAACTAGCCAGCATTAATGCAATATTACAATATTACAAAAAATAAGCTCCAAGGATTGTTTTATTTCAAATTGAATTGTTTTCATTTTGAACAGTGCCTTTTATTTTGTTATTCTATTATTCATTAATAAATAGCAACAAGTATTATATTTCAGTTTCTGATAACATGAGCTATTTTGCTGGATTGCATTATAAAGTAATTCTGTAACATGTAGATTTAGAGGATATTAAGGACTAGAAAGTAGAACTCTTCAGTTGTGGTAATCTGTTGTGAAATTTCCCCTTCCTTAAAAATTTCAAACCATTATATTATAGAAAAGTATAACCAAATAAAATATAGTAATATATAATGTGTTATAATATAATTATATATGTGTGTAAACGTGTATATAGATCTTTGCTATGTGCTGACAGAGACAGCCAAGAAAAGACTCAGTACTGGCCTATGCATGCTGAAAGTCCTCCAAAAGACATGGCTTCAGTGAAGGTGCCTGAAGAGCATATCTTGGGAGCAATTCCCTAGCTCTCAGGGACAAGGTTGTGAGGAACCCCAACTCCTGATCCTTAGCATTGACCTCAGAGTATTCTGACACCATCTGAATTGTTTTATCAAGGCAAATTTGATGTCTTCTTTCTTTCAAGATAACAAAGCAAGTCATTTTCATAGCCTCAGTTGCTTGCTTGGTGTGAAAATATATCACTTTGCAGAGATCTGTTGTATGTATTGTGCTCCCTTTGGGTGATGTGTTGCGATTCCTGAATTGAAATTCCCCTGTATTAATATTTATTTTATTTTCATATTACTTTTCCTCCTGAACCTGCTCAGAGCAATGTACAAGAAGAATCGAAAACAATATTAAAATCCCCATAGTAAAAGTAGAAAATACAAATGATAATGCTAAATAATAATAACAACAACAACAACAATACAATTTTAAAGGCCTGCCCAAGTATACAGGCATTTCTTCAGATTCTGTGAAACAGAGCAACTTGGAGCCAGTGAGAAAATATGCTTGTGAGACGAAAATACCAGTGATACGATCCTCAAACAGTCATTCAAGTTTATAGCAAATCCCAAAATACTTTCAGCCTGAACTACCTCAACGGACTATATATCTATAAAAGCAATGATACAAATAAAATATATATCACCTGGCAACTTAAAGACAAAATGATCAACCACTGTATAGCAACAGAGTTTGTTCTTCAGGGAATAGATCCTTGCTAGAAAGAAAATATAATCTATAGGAAGTGCAGCATGATAATAAATAATAAGGCCTGGTCCGTCTGGTAGATTTTCTACTCCATGTAATTCATAACCTGTTTTTAATACAAAACAGAACAGAATATTGTCATTCATATAATCAAATGCATCATAAAACCTTATTATGCCAAGAGGTTCCAAAGTGATGATTACACCACTGTAGTCTTTAGTCCTACTAAAATAAGCACAATATTATATTATCTGATGGAATTATTAAATTGTGTACTGTGAGTTTTAGGCAGGCAGCTTAATGCCCCAAAATACTTCCACTTGCCAAATAACTATCTCTAACTACTTCTATTGTTTTTATTTTCTATTTTATTAAAATACATAAGAAATTATTAGACTTTTGCTGATTAATAAGGAGAATTCAAGATTTTGATATGTATTAATAGACAAGGGGTGAGATATAGAATGAAGAATTCTTTATCTTAAGAGACAGTGATAAGATGGTAATGTTAATTATATTTGTTAGGGATAAAGGGGTGTGTGTGTGTGTGTGTGTGTGTGCGTGCGTGCGTGTGTGTAAGAGCCGTGGTGGTGCAGTGGTTAGAATACAATACTGCAGACTACTTCTGCTGACTGCTGACTGCCATTCGATTCTAAATGGCTCAAGGTTGACTCAGCTTTCTGTCCTTCCAAGGTCAGTAAATTGAGGACCCAGATTGTTGAGGACAATATGCTGACTCTATAAACAGTTTAGAGAAGGCTGTAAAGCACTGTGAAGTGATATAGCAATAACAAAAGCACTGCATTGCGATAGGATACATGTGTTTGTGTGTGCATGTGTGAGTGTGTATGTTATTGGGATTTTTTGTGCACTTTTTAGATTGTGTGGTGTGTATCTTTTTTATGTACTTTGAAGGATTTTGTACCAGTATAGAGTTGTTCCTACTTAGGCACAGAAGCCAGCTGCGTGACAAATCCAGTCTAAACATCTTGCTGATTGCAGGACCAACTATAATATAAAACTATGAAACAATTGCTAATGGAAACAAGTTAATACAAACTATAAAATCACTGTATGATTAAAATCTAGAAACGAAATTGTCTTTAATGTTAATATTGAAACTGAACGGTAATATACTATAGGATAATGTAATATACTGAAAGCAATAGTGATACAGTTCAAGGACTAGGATCTCCCAATACATTTTGAAATAAGAGAAAATACTTGTAGCTTGGGTTTTAGATTTTGGCAGTGGTTTGCTCTCGAAGCTTGTTTCAATTTAGTTTCTGAACGTTTTGTTACCAGAGTAAGGAACAACATCAGCAGGATTTTCTTGTCCTATTCCTCTTTAGCTTAAAGCAGACATGTCAAACTTGCATCGCGTGGCATATCAGAGCTTTTTCCCATTGCCGGCAATGGGGTGGGTGTGGTTTCCTTGGGACGCATCTGGCCCATGGGCCATGAGTTTGACACCCCTGGCTTATATACATCTTGTGTGTCAGTGTGGTCAGTTGGTCTTGTGATTAGTTATTCGTTTGTTGCTATATTTAAATTCTGAGCAGCTGATTGGTTCTCTTGTTGATTGGTTGTTTGAATGGTCTGGTTTCTTACGTATTCAGATGCTGGATCTAAATCAATATACTTGCTAATTACTCCTTTGTGAGACTATCAGGCTTCAATACATTCATGTGGTGTATATTGGCTTGCCCAATGATGTTTGGTCCTTCCTAATCAAACTGGTGTTGTTTTTTAACAATGTGGTTTGAGGTCAGGGATTTTTGGTCATGCCATTTAACTGCTAGTTGATATTCATGAACGCTTATTTTCAATTGCCTTCCTGTTTGTCCCACATAGAATTGGTTACAGTAGTTGCAATTGATTTTGTATACTATGTTGCTGTTGTCTTCCTTCTGTATTTTGTCTTTGACTTTAGACAGCTGTTTTCTGAATGTAAATGAGGGTTTGTGAGCTATCATCATTCCTAGGGTTGCAGTATTCTGGCAGCCATTTTGGATGTTCCTTTGATGTATGGCAGGACTTGTTTCTGTGTTGTGGTTGGCTGTGTATTTTGTCTCCCAATGCATATTTTGCTCTAATGCAGTGGCCCACAATCTTTTGGGCACTAGGGACGGTTCCGTTGGAGAAAGTTTTTTCTGTGCACCAGGGACGGTTCCGTTGGAGAAAGTTTTTTCTGTGGACTGGAGAGGGCATGGTTTCATGTGCTGTCTGCCTCCCACAGATGGGGCTTCGCTTGTTTGCGTGGTTGCTGCCATGCCGCAGCCCAATGCCAGTCCATGGACTTGGGGTTGGAGACCTCTGATCTAAAACTTGCATTAATTCTGCAAATTTCCATTTGATCAGCAACAGAGGAGCAAGCTGTTCATATAAGTATTTTCTTATAAAAAGCATATACTGTATAGATAATATAAATACCTACATTTTTACTCTAAATAAACAAGCCAGTACCTCATAATTTTCATTTAATTAAATCAGAGCATCCAGACAAAGATCTTCTGAATAACATGTAATTAATACCAGATGTATGTTGTGCCAAATATTTTTAGAAATATTTTTAGTAATGATTACTGTTTTGCTGAAGCAGTGGCTCAGGACAGTAGAAACTAGTTAATGCAGTAGATCATCTAATCAGTAAGTCATTCAAATTTAATATTTAAACATAGGTAGATATAGATTACAGAACTTAAAGCAGAATTATCTGAACTACAATCCCAGTATTCATATTTCAATGAATTTATGAAATGTCTGGTGGAAATTATAAACATCAAAATATGACCCTTTTCGCAGAACAAGCAAACCCAGAAGAATAAAGATTTCTTACCATGCCATATTCTTCCAAAGAAGTCCCAAAGATGTCCCAAAATAAAATAATAGCTTCTTTGGGCCTCTTCTTTAGCTTTACTAGACATCTCATAGATCAGGACAATAACAACAGATAGGTAGACATAGAAGACAATCCAAAGAGGAACTGCCAGTAATCCCAGTAAGGGCAATACGACTGCGGAAATAAAACATTTCTCCAAGCTCATAGGAAGCCATTCTCCATATATATACAGCAGACTTATTGTGGAGTTCATAAGTACCTATGCAAAATGTGATAATGCTTAATCTCTGCAGGAGAAAGGAAAAAAATCAAAGAACAATATAAAATTAACAATACACTCAATATAAATATTTAGCTGGCACAAATCTTGAAATATGAACTTTAGGAATATTTGGGCACGCCTTCCCTCTCCCAAGTACGTGTGAGAATGATTGAAATCTTGCGAGTGTGCACTTTCTCAAGATCTCGGTGCTTGTTTATATAATGTCATTTTTAAATTACTTTGCAAGTTTTTAATAAAACTGGAGGATATGCAGGACTCACAAAATAGTAGTGGTGATCTGAGCTGAGGTTCTCCAAAAACATTCACAACTATGGGCCAGATACTTACTATTATATATTTTGATCCCTGTCCTAAATGGCTAATTAAAATTGATCTAGAGCAGTGGTTCTCAACCTGTGGGTCAGGACCCCATTTGGGGTCGAATGACCATTTCACGGGGGTCGCCAAACCACGCTGTCCGCCATTTTTTCCCTTTTCCCTAGCTGTCCTACTCCCTCTTATTGGTGGCCACACCCTAGCTGTCCTACTCCCTCTTATTGGTGGCCACACTTGGGGGTCACCACAACATGGGGAACTGTATTATGGGGTCATGGCATTAGAAAGGTTGAGAACCACTGATCTAGAGAATCAATTGGCTTGCATTTTACTGGATTGTATCTGAAAGTTTGGAATAGGAGCATTTTGGGGGGATTTCACTATAATGTTAGATATGTACTGTGATAATACATACACATATTAAGACAATTTTTTTTAATCTCCATATTTTTCTGAAGGAAAAATGGGGTGAAAGATTTCTGAAAATTATCACAAGTGGAATAGTTAGAATAAAGTTAATAATACCCAAACCTAGCTTGGAACATGTCCATTGTTATTAAAAGGATGAGTTTTTAAATACTCCAAGTTCCTGAAGACTTTTCCAACATGCATGAGAATTAAGACTATAACAGAGTTCTTTTAGGGGCTTTTCTCCACACTCCTTTATTTGTCTTCCAGTGATAATTTTAGTGGTGGAAGCAAAGTTAGGGAAAAGGGGGCTTTTAAAAATCATTGTTGTTCTACTGTACTCTTCAATAAAGTCGATTAGAGCAGGGAATCTTGATAAAAGTTACCACCTTAAATAGCTATAGCTAAATACTATAGATGATAAAGTGAAAGGCAGGAAGACAGGCCTTAATTTTCTGTGAGATAGAAGTGTTCATATGCAGATAAATCTGATGAGGACCTAGAGCAATTTAGTTATTTCTACCTTGGAGGATTACAGGATGATTTACCAGGGTAACATAGATTATTGTTTTGTTGATATACTGTAAACCATCACTTCATGAGCGTATTGCATAACACCCAACTGTCTCACTCCCACATTTTGTTGTAATGATGACATTTCTGCAGGCATTCATATACTTATTTTTCATACTGGCTTCCACATGAATCAGAAAACAAGTAAACTAAGTTCCATATAAGTTCACTTGACCTTGCAGGGAGGCCAATGGCCATATCTGCAATAGCTTTCCTCTTGTAGTCAGTTGTATTGAATATGCAATTGCCTGCAGAAATTTGATATCATTTCTGAGATAGAGGACATAGGAGTAGAGCAGCTGTAGCACTCAAAGCTTTTGAGTTTGGCTTTTTTACAATGTGGTTCAAATGAGTAAGTTCCTTCAAACTCATTGAACAGATAGTGACCATACATTTTCATCTAATCCCTTACAATCTATTAGAGTAACTAACATCCATGGGGTCGCGATCGGTCGGACACGACTTCGCAATTAACAACAACAACATCTTATATTTTACACAAATAACACTCATTCTAGAGCAGTGGATAACATTTAGCTCATAGGCTAAAGTTTCTGCAGTCCTCAAAACTTTTTTCACATCCTGCATAATTTTACATACCATTATCATATCTTCTCTCACACTTTCCCCTAAAGAGACATAAATGAATTTTTCCTCTTAAGGGAAATAATTTGGTATACAGCATTCTGAATGAAGTTCCACTATGGATGATGGTTTTTAGCTTCATAACGATCCTTAAAATTAAGTTCTTTTCTTTTCAAAATATCATTTTTGTTTACATTGCTATTTTAATTTGTTTCAACAAGCTCCTTGTCTGTTGTCTTGGTCTAAGTTTTCAAATTTTCACCCTGTTCTATGAAATTTGATATATTCAAAGTCTCTTTCTAGAAGACAAGGAAATGTTTTCTTTACAAATCTTTTCCATAAATTGTGATCTTGATTGGAAACTTCAGAACTCATTTAGAAAGAAAGCTATTAAATAATTTTAGACATT